TGCTTTACCTTGGTCTTAACCATCCAGCAGAAAAGTATAAAAATGAAGTACAAGAAGTAAAGCCATGTTGTTATGTTGAGCTGTAGGGCAGTTAGGTCAACATCTTCTGACATTGCCAGTCAAGTGTAAGCCCCAATACTATTATGGACTACTGGACTCTTAGAATATTTTGCTGAGTTAACACACCTATAATATTCAAATGACAGAACTAAACAAAAAAGGGGATACAGATGAATGTCCATTTTGTATCTGGGTATTCAAAATGGTTAGGATAGATATATAGTTACATTCTCTTAATGAATAGAGGGATTTGTTGTAATAGTGTTTGTAAATAGGATATCATGTCTGCATCTTGTACAGCAAATAACCACCAGGAAGACAGTATGCAATATGTTAATTATTGGAACTGTCCTACCAATTTGATTTGGAACTGTCTCATTGCTATTTGTGTGTCAATAAAATTATGGAAAAAATAATAAATAAAATGATACAGTGCCCGATGATAAATTATTTTAAAAACAACCTTTATCATATCCTGTTTGACTTTTTTATTCTGACGTAATGATAAACAGCTATAAATTTTCAATTTCCAATGTACCTACCTAAATCATGGCTTCTGTTAAAATACAAACAAGTGCGCAGCAAGTTCATTGACAACAACTAAACCGGAATGAAGTGTTGACTTTACAGCTATTAAGCATCTTATCCTATTTAATGTTAAGATGAACTTACAAGAATTAAAATGGCCTTTGCTAATAAAGACATTGATTTTTAATTAATTGCCTTTTGGACCCTTGCGCACAATTGCGCGTCTCCCTACCCTGCGTCTCGCAGGAGTTCGACCGCTGCAGCCTCCGGGGAGCAGTCGAGCGCTTCCTGCCCAGAGAGGCCGCCTGCGAGCCGGGGCGTGGGAACGCTCCTCGCGGGGCAGGCTGGGAAACGGCCGGCCCCGCCGCCATCTTGCTTCCTTTCCAGTCGGTCGTGACCGCGGTCCACAGAGGCTTGAGCCATGAGGCTACTACCCAGAGCCGGACTCCTTTCGGTGAGCGCAGGGGCGGGTTGGCGAGAAGCCCGGAGAGCAGCCTGTCAGCAAGGTGATGCAGCCCGGGGGTACTGGCGCGGGTCCCGGCCGCAGGCTTCCCTTCGCCCTTCAGCGAGCCCTGCGGGCCGAGAGGACTGCAGTCGCGGTAGGCGTCGGAGGTCCGGCTCGGCCCGGGAGCGAGAGCCTCGCGCCCGAGTCCCTGAGGGAGGGCGGGCTTTGCGGCGGGACGCGGCGGGCGGCTTCGTGGAGAGCGAGTGAAGGTCACGGCCTGCGCGGCGGTCCCGCCTCGGCCTCCGGGTTTCCTACAGCGTCGGGGTCCCAGCGGTGGTTTGTGCAGAGTAGTGTAAGAATAAGCAGATGCGGAGGCGGCGCCGGTCCGGTTCCGGAGCTTCACGCGCAGGCGCGCCCCGTGGCGCTGCACCTTGCGGACGTGTCGTGGGAGGGTCCCTCAGGAGAGCCCCCGTCAGTCCGCCGCCGCCGCAGCGTCCGGCTCCCTCGAGCCCAGACTACGCAGAGTTCAGCCGTCTCTGGGGGAGCACCTCAAGCATCAGCGTGTTAGCCCGGTGCAGCGTTCGTTGTCGAGGGCAGAGAGGAGGTGTGTGTTTGTGATTGTAAGCAAGGGATAATTTGTGCCCATTGAACGGTTAGTAAGGTCTAGATAGTTTTGTTAACCTAGGAAAGATGTCCGCTGGCTCTTGGCGGTCAGGAGTGCTGCTGAACATTCTAGGACGCTTAGAAACAACCCCTACAACTAGGAATTACCCAGCCCCAAATGCCAGTAGGACTAGGGTTGAGAAACCCTGCTAGAGGGATGTGCGAAACACCGGATACAGGAGCGGAGTGCCCTTGTGCCCTATGTTTAAATAAGTGTGCGGTGTAGGCGTTAACTCTGTTCCTGGCATGCCTAGCCAAACTGTCTTAAGGACAGCCCATTAGGCTACTGGGACTATATCATGGTCACTTTCTTGATCATGAAACAGCGACACAAAACCGTACAATTACGAGTCTTAAAACCTTGACTAAGTAATGTGTGTCATCCTGAGATTGACAGCAGACTAGAGGGAAAAGAAAAACCAGACTTGTTCACAGTAATCCTGATTTTTCAAAAAATTACAAAGCAGCAACCCAAGTCCTACTGGCATTTGGGGCTGCGTAATTCCTAGTTGTAGGGGTTGTTTTTGAACGTCCTGGAATGTTTGGCAGCACCTCTAACCGCCAAGTGACAGTTAACAAACTTCTTTCCATTTTCCAGTAGAAAAGAGAGCTCAGAGGACCAGTCAGAGAGGATCAAGGTGAACAAGCTGAAGCAAACTTGAAAGCAATTATTTGCTTCTGATTAGAGCACTTATGTGAGAATAAGTGTGTACACGTTGTATTTTTAAGATAATTAGCCAGGCCAAGTGGCACCAGCCTCTATCCCAGTTACTTGGAAGGCTGAGGCAGGAAGATTAAAAGTTTGAAGGCATTGTAAGCAACTTAGCAAGACGCTGCCTGAAAATAAAAAGCTGGGATGCACCTCCCAGCACTGCAAGAAAATAATAATCTAGAAATTCTGCAAATCGTCATTGTCACCTAACAATTACACTGCAAAAACTAATGGTACTCTAGTAATTCTGTAACAACTGCTAGGATTATTCCTGCTGGTTTCAAAGGGGGCAAATAAGTACACAGTGTCATCCTTCAGCTACATCTACATGTACATCTTCCTTGGTAATGTAGTTATATAGTTTGTATTTGAGCTGCTGTCACCAGACATCATATAATAATGCTTTTTGAAAAACTAAAAGTCAGAGTTGAAAATAGAGCTACCTGTTTCATACCCAGAGAAAACAGGCAATAGTAAAGCAGAGCTCATTGTAATTTATAATTAAAAAGCATTACTAAAGTGGGAAAGAAGTAATTCCAAGAGTAAATGAAAGCCAGCAGCCAAGGTAGTGCAGCGCTTGCCAGTTGCCAGCAGCAGCATGGCACAGTGCAGACTGGAGGCATCAGAAGTGAAGTGCTGGTGGAGACTCGGGGACTCCAGCACGCGTCCCTTGGATCTTGGGAGCACTGGGTTTTACTTACTCAGCATCTGCACTGTTAACCTTATGAATCTTGGTGGTAGGCAGAATGACTTAGGTCACTGTGGAGCATTTGCCAGAAAGACTAGATAAAGTGAATGTATTTTTTTGGATCCATTGTCTGGCATAGAACCCTTTTTTCCTACACGCAACTGCATATTATATATTGAGGATAACTATGAATGAGTCTACTCTTAATCTCAGGATGACACACATTCTTATTTAGTCAAGGTTTTAAGGCTTGCGATTGTAAGACTTGTGTCACTGTATCACGATCGAGAAAGTGAAGAGCATGGAAATGCCAGAGGCTCAGAAGAGGCTGGTTTGCTTTAGCGTTTTTAGATTGCTAAATAATTGAAGGCTTGAAGTCATTTTAGTGGGAAAATAGACTAACATGGCTTGAGTCTTGCTGGGAAGATGAGGGAAGCAGTAATGTGCAAATCAGTAAAAGCATCCATTTGGCAGTATGGCGTTTTTCAAAAAATTCCAAAGCAGCACCAAAGGAGCAACTTGAAGCTTCAGTAAGATCATTAAAAAATAAGGGAAGTAGTTATTCTTCACATAGTGAAAATTGAACATAGAGAATTTAGCATATAAGGGTGGCTTGGGTAAACTGGGCAGTTCGTAAGTCCACAGTATTACTTAGTAAAACCTTCTCATGGAGATGGTCATTGCTCTTTGTCACTCAGCAACACACAGATAATTATTGTCTATAGTATTCTTGTGGGAAATGTATGTAACCCGTCTTTTTTTGTGTTTAGAGATTTTATTCCCTCAAAGTTGCCCCCAAAGTTAAAGCCGCAGCCGCCCCTGCAGGAGTGCCTCTACATCCTCAGGACCTTGAGGTTAGTCCAGTGAATTGTCCACCGAAACCCACATACACCTACTTTTCTTGCTAATGTGAAGATACTAATCGCATCTACTTCATTGCAAATACAGTTTACCAAATTACCAAATGGTTTGGTGATTGCATCTCTGGAAAACTATGCTCCTGTGTGCAGAATTGGTGTGTTCATTAAAGCCGGCAGTCGATATGAGGACTCCAGCAACTTAGGGACCTCTCACTTGCTGCGCCTTGCGTCCAGCTTGGTAAGTGTCTCTGCCACCTCAGTGTTGGGAGATGCTGTGGTGTCTTGGTCCTGTGAGAAGCAGAAACCTAAAGCAGTGTCTCCATGTGTTAGCTCTATCACTGTGGGAGAATAACCGGAAATCAACTTAAAGGAGGAAAGGTTTATTTTAGTTCACAGCCTCAGACCACAGTCGACTAGCCCCATTGCCTTTGGGCCTCTGGTAGAAGGGCCTGGCAGAGGAAACTCTTCACTCCCTGCAACAGGGAAGCAGGAGAGGGCGCCAGAGCCAGATGAGGTGCTGAGGACCAGGTGCCCCCAGCATCCTGCCCGTGACCAATCCCCTCAACAAGGCTTTGTCTCCCAGGCCTCAGTAATACCATCAGATTATACATCCATTAAATCCACTAAGGAAATTAGAGCCCTTGTGGTCCAGTCATCTTCCAAAAGCTCCCCTCTAAACATTGCTGCTTTGGGGAACCACGACTTCAACACGTGTGATTTGGGAAGATATTTCAGAGCCAGAGCATAATGCCTCGTATTAATATCTGTGAGCTGCCTTACCAGATTACCATAAATGGAATGTCTGAAAAAGGAGGAATTTCTCCTCAGTTTTGAAGGCTAAAAGTTGAAGACCAGGTGTCAGTCACCAGGTCCATGCTTTCTGTGAAGGCACTAGAAGAGAATCCTTCCCTGCCACTATCTAGCTTCTTACAGTAGCCAGCAACCCTTCACTCTGTAGCTGCCTCGCTCCAGTCCCTGCTGCTGCTGCTGTCACGGAGCCTTCCTTCTGTCTATGTCCCTGTATCCAGATTTCACTCCTATGAGGACATCAGTCATTTTGGGTTTAGAGCCCACCCTAATTCAGCACGGCCTCTTAAATATAGCTGCAAAGACTTATTTCCAAATAAAGACACATTACTAGGTTCTCAGTGGATGTGAGTTTTGGAGACACTGTACAACCCAATAAAATCCCCTAATATAAGATGAGAAACCACAGGTATTTGCTACAGAGAACCATTATATGAGTAGCCAGCTTTATGTTAGAATGTCAGAAATTAGTAAAAAGATTTTTAAAAGAAAGTGCCAAATGTCAGCCAGATAGCTCCATGGATTAAAGCGCCCCCTTAGGCAAATGCAAGAACAAGGGGTCAATTCCCTGGCCTGCTGTACCAGCCCCGCCCCTGGGGCGTGCTGAGATGGTGATTGAGACTGGGCGTGGTGGCACATGCCTGTAATCCCAGCTCTTGGGAAGCTGTAAACAGAATTACTAAAGACGTCTACATGATGAGACCCTGTAGACCTTGTCCTAAATACAAAAAAAGTGCCAAAAATGGAAAGAAGTCTTTCCTGTATTGTCATTCTCTTTGAGAAAAAAGACTGTAGTAAGTTGATAATTATCAGATATAATCTGTCTGATGATAGAATTTTTTTACATAAAAATCTGTACTCCTGTTAGTCTTTAAACTTTACATATAATTTTTAAAAGGATCTACTACTTAGTAAAGTTATTTGAATCTGCTCATAAGTGTTATACAGATTTTGATACTGTATGATGTTAGGCAAATTTGGCATGAAAAAGTACTAAGAAAACTTTTCTTTTGTTTTTCAAGACTACAAAAGGTGCTTCTTCTTTCAAGATAACACGTGGAATTGAAGCAGTTGGTGGTAAATTAAGGTTTGTTAAATGTAATTTTAAAATATTGAAAATGCCAGAAGAGATTCAGTTACAAGGAAACTCTTCTTTCACCTGGGTAAAGATTTCTTAAAGCACCAGAGGAAAATAGTGATGAATTTGCATCAAAATGTGAAGGTGTTTATCCAGACAGGGTAGAACAGGCTTATACCCAGCACTATGTGAGGCTGAGGGGAGGATCAGTGGAGACAACTTGGCAATTTAGTGAGACCCTGTCTCAGAATTTAAAAACAGAAAAGGGCAGAGGATATGGCTCAGTGCCAAGGCCCTGGATTCAATCGCTAGTACCAGAGGGAGGCGCTTTGGGGTTGCAAAACATCTTTATGCTTTAAGGTGACACTTGATGTGAGCCAGGGTACAGCTCTGGCACAGCACCCATCTGGCAAGCATGAGGTGCTGAGTTTGATTTCCAGTAACCCCCCACCACCACCCTGAAAAAACAATTTAAACAACTGGGAGTAGGTATTTGCAATGTAGACTATATAAATGGTTTCTATTTGGAAAACTGAGAAACTACCGATTAGGAGAACTGATCCAGGGACAATAATAAGTAGACAATAGGTAGAAACAGCTCTCCCCTAAAGAGAACACAAAAAACACCAGTCTCTGTTTATAATTGCCAAACAGTGATAGCATTTCACACTCATCGAGATTTTTTAAAATACGGTGTTGGCCGAGAGGAAGGAGATGAAAATTCTCTTTAATTTTCCTTATGATGGAATAAACAGGTAATTGTACCAATTAGAAAAGAATCGGGTACTATGCGGCATTATTTCCAACCATTTTCATGCATGTACACAAAGCTATTTTTAAGTGTATTGGTATAGTGTCAATATACATAAAAATCACATTCATCATAGGAAATTTGTGCCCATACATGACATATCTTGATTTCCCTTTTTTCCCCACCCCCCCACCCTTTGTTACCATTTCATCCTTTTTATCTTTTTTTTTCTTTTCCTTTAGCCCTGCATCCTTCCCTAGTTGCCATTTCTTTTGAACAATTTGTTCCTATCTTGCAATACCTGTTGTACACTTTGGTCCTTATTTATGCTTTTGGTTTCTCACCCCGGAGAAGGTGATGTTTACACGAGTCGGATTTATTTCACTTAAAAGAGTATGGTCTGGAGTTGCATCCACTCAACCTAGAAATGTCTCAAATTTATCCTTCATAGCTGAGTGACACTCCATTGTATAAAAAGACCACATCTTTTCTATCCATTTCTTGGTTGATGGGCATTTGAGTTGTTTCCAAGACTGTGTGACTGTAACTTGGGTGCACATATATCGCTGTCGTGTGATGTTTTTAATTCTGGAAAGATACTCACAAGGGGAATAGCTGACTCGAATGGGACTGCTAACCTAGTTTCTTGAAGAATCTTCACGCTGATTTCCATAGTGGAAAAAGAATAGCCATTCTTTCTTGAGTGAAAGGGAATCTCAGTGTTGTTTTACTTGGAGTCTTTTGAATGACCAGTAATGTTGAACATTTTTTCCTATATTTACTCGCCATTTGTATTTCTTCATCTGAGAAGTTCATGTTCATCTCAGAGGCCCATATGTGAGTTGGGTCTTTATATGTTCTAGCTATTACTCCTTTGTCTGAGGGACAGCTGGCTGAAATTGTTTCCCACTCTGTGGGTGTTTTTCACTATTTGGTAGTTTCTTGTGCTTTGCAAATGCTAAAGGATGAGATCCCATCTGAACAACTACTTTAAGACAGCATTATGCAGCATAATAACCATTATTGAATTCCTACTGTGTTTTTGGAAATTCTATATTGTTTCCAATGTTTTATTTTTTATTCTCTTTAAATAAAAAAAAAAAATGTTAAATAGGATCAGATCCCATTTGTTGATTCTTTGTAGTATTTCCTGAGCAGCCTGGGTTTTATTCATGAAATCGGGGGGCCTGGCCTTAGCTCAGTTGTTTAAGTGGCAGCTTCCACAAAGCTGTCAGCCTCAGGTTGCTGTAGTTTGATCCCCACAACACTCCAGCCAGCCAAACCACCCCTCAGGGCATTCAGATCAAAAAAAAAAAAAACCTTATTCATGAAATCTTGGTCTGCACCTATGTATTCAGGAGTTTTACCTGTTCTTTCTTCCAGCAGATTTAATGTTTCTGTTTTTTATGCTTAGATATTTGATCCCATTTTGATTTTAGTTTAATGGATGGTGAGAGACATGGGTCTAGTTTTCGTCTATGGCATTTGTTTTCCAGCACCATTTATTTGGTTTATGTTTTGTTTGGTTGGGTTTTTTTTAGGGAAGGGTCTACAGGGTGTTCAGGGTCTCGCTAATAGATCGGACTCATACTGATCCACCTGTATACAGCCTCCCAAGAGCTGGGATTACAGGAGCCTGCCACCACACCCAGTCTCAGTTGCCATCTCAGTGCACCTCAGGGGCGGAGCCTGCATGGCAGGCCCGGGAATTAAACCCCCAGCCCTTGCACCTGTTTGCAGGAGCTTAATCCACAGAGCTACTTGGCCAGCCCCCAGCACCATTTATTAAAGAGGCTTTTTTTTTTTTGGTAATAAGTGAATGTGTTTAGCCACTTTGTCAAAGATGAGGTGGCTGAGTATGTTTGAAGTTGTTTTTGCATCTTCTAATCTTTTCCATAGATCCTTGGGTCTTTTTTTTTTTTGCCAGTACCATGCTGTTTCTCTTACAGTAGTTCTGTGGTATATAATTTCAAATCAGGGATTGTGATGCCCCCTTTGTTGCCCAGAATTGTTTCTGCTATTCTAGATGTCTTCTGTTTCCAAATGGATTTTAGGAATGTTTTCTCTAGTGCTGTGAGGTATGCTACCTGTATTTTGATTGGGATTACATTAAATCTGTATATCAATTTTGAGAATATGGCCATTTCACTGTGCTGATTCTACCCATGAGCAAGGTGTATCTTTCCACTTTCTGATAGCCTCTTCAATCTTTTTTCAGAGTACTGTATGTTTCAATATATAGATATTTTACTTCATTAGGTTGATTCCCCAAGCATTTCATTTGTACTGATGCTATTATAAAAGGTATTTTTGCTCTAATATCCCTCTCAGTGTCTTTCTTGTTTGTGTAAGGAATGCTATTGATGTTCGTTGATTTTGTAACCAGCAATGCTATTGAATTTGGTTATTAAACCTACAAGCCTCTTGGTTTTTGTAGTCTTCTATATAGAATACCATGTCGTCTGCAAATAATAATTTAACTTCTTTGCTCTCGCTCACTCGTGCTCTCTCTCTCTCTCTCTCATTGTTCTGACTAATGTTTTCAGAAATATATTGAATAGGAGTGGTGATAGTGAACATTTTTTGTTCCAGATTTTAGAATGACAGCTTTCAGTTTTTGACCATTTAATGTACTGTTATTTGTTGGTTTTTTATAGATGGCTTTTATCAAATTGAAATTAAGACCAACTATTCCAATTTTCTGTGGGGTTTTTATCATGAGTGGGTGTTGGACTTTGTTAAATGCTTTTCCTAATCTATTGAAATGATCACTTGTTTTTTATCTTTGGCTCTATTAATATCGTGTATTACATTTATTGATTTGCATATGTTGAACGATCCCTGCATCTCTGGGATGAATTATAGTTGATCATGGTGCATAATCTTCTTGATGATTTGTTGCATTTGTTTACCATATCTTATTAAAGATTTTTGCATCTATGTTCATTAGGGAGATTGGCTGTAGTTCTGTTTTTCAGTTGGGTTCTTTTCTGGTTTTGGTGGCAGCAATGCGTGCCTCTAGGAATGAGTTTGGGTGAATTGCTTCCCTTTCAATTTCATTAGAGTTTCAGCATTTTAAATTTGTTGGAAATTTCAGCATCAACATCTGGGGTTTTCTTTGTAAGTTCTTAATTACATTTAATATCATTGACTTAGGTTATTTAGAATTTTTATATCTTGATTCAGTTTTTTCATGTGTATAGGTATCTGTCCATTATATGTTTCCTGTCTTATTGGAATATAGGTTCTTGGAGTAGGTATTGATGATTGTCTGGATTTCTGCAGGATCCATTGTGATTTTACCCTTTTGATTCCTAATTGCATGAATTTGAGACTTTCTAATAAAGTTGGCTAACTGTACTTCTGATTGGATTTGAAACTGTCTCATTGCTATCTGTTTATCAATAAAACTTTGAAAAATAAAAAGATAAAAAAAAATAAAGTTGGCTAACAGTTTATCAGTTTTATTTAATCTTTGAAAGAATCAACTTTTTGATTCATTGATTCTTTGTATTATTTTCTTCCTCTCACTTGTGTTACTTTCTGCTCTTCACAATTTTCTCCCTCCCAGGAGCTTTGAGCTTAATGTGTTCTTTTTTCTAGAAGTTTGAGGTTTAGTGTTAGGTTGTTTATTTAAACTTGTTCTGTTCTTCTGATGTGAGAATTTACCACTATAAATTTCCTTCACAGGACTGCTTTCATTGTGTTCCGTAAGTTCTAGTATGTCATACTGACATCTTCATTTGATTACAGATACTGTTTAAT